CTATGATTCTATAAATTTTATCTAATTCTATGATTTTAATAAATCTTTCTATGAGGCAAGAAAAATGGGAGAGGCTAAGGCTGTGATTTATAAGGAAGCCAGGACACTCACAGTAGCCAGGATGAAAACATACATGATCATTTTTGTGACATGAACAAAATTCATGTTTTTGTCTGTTCAGACATGATCACAGAGTGACCTTGGTTGTGTCCTGCTCCAAGGACACACAGTGGCCTTGTCTAATCTTCGTGTTCTATAGAACTGTTTAGGACCAACTGCAGGACAACACAGCCTAGAGTGAACGCCAGATCAACTCTGAGAAACCCGAGGTTGAGGTGGGGGCCAGTCCCTTCTTAGCCGTCAGGAGCTGTTTTTCTCTTCCTCACAGGAAATCACAGTGTGATGAGAGCTCTAACAACAAAAACATGTCTCATCATGAGAAAACAATCAGATCAAGATTGTGAAACCTACAAAACCACTGTCTTATATTCTTTTATGTCCATGTCATGGAAGAAAAAAATGCACAAGGAACACTGTAACTTAAAGAAACAAACCTAGATTCCCTGGCCGGTGTGGATCAGCGGTTAGAGTGTCAGCCTGCACACTGAAGGGTCATGGGTTTGATTCCCAATCAAGGGCACATACCTGGGTTGCTGGTTCGATCTCCAGGCCATGGGTGGGGTGCATGAAAGACGCAACTGATCGATATATCTCTCTCACACTGATGTTTTTCTCTCTCCCTTCTACTCTCTAAAAACCAATGGAAAAAATATCCTCGGGTGAGGATTAATGGAAAAAAGAAGAAGAAAAAAAGAAACAAATCTAGAGATGTGATCCTGGATCCAAAATAAAATCTAAGAAAGCTGGAGAAATTTGAATATGGATTATGTATTTGATATTATTATTATCAATGTTAAATTTCTTGAGTGTGATATGGTATTGTGGATATATACAAAATAGGGGTTGAAATGTCACAATATCTGCAACTTACTCTCAAATGCTTCAGGAAAAAAAATTAAGACACACCCATAGAGTATTATAGACAAATGTGGCAAATTTTTAGCAATTAGTGAACTTGGGCAAAAGGTATGTAAGTGTTCACATACTATTCTTTACAGGTTTTTTTTTTCTGTAAATTTGAAAATTTGGCAAATTACAAAAATTGGAGGAAAATGAGTTAATTGGCATATTGGTGAGATGTAAAATTGAAAGGGGAAACAACTAACTAGTCTAAAAGAAACACAGAAGCCCTGGCCAGTTTTGCTCAGTGGTTAGAGTGTCAGCCTGCGGTCGAGAGAGACCTGGGTTCAGTTCCCACTAAGGGCATGTACCGCAGTTGCAGTTTGTCCCTGGCCCTGGTTGGTCGTGCAGGTGGCAGCCACTCGATGTGTCTCTTTCACGTCAATGTTTCTCTCTCTCTCTCTCTTCCCCTCTCTCCCTCCCACTCTATCTGAACAAAAAATGGGAAAATAGCCTCAGGTGAGGATTAAAAAAAAAAAGAAAGAAACACAGAAAATTTCCTAGAAGAGGAGACATCTAAAATTCTGGAAGGCGAACACATGGGACAACATCAAACTCAAAAGCTTCTGCACAGCAAAAGAAACAACCATCAAAATGGAAAGGGAACCCACTAGATGGGAGACCATAATTGCCAATGATGCATCAGATAAGGGGTTAATTTCCAAAATATATAGAGTGTTCATACAACTCAACAAAAGACAAAGAACCCAATTAAAAAATGGGCAGAGGACATACAAATGGCCAAGAGACATATGAAAAAATGCCCCACATCACTAATCCTCAGAGAGATGCAAATTAAAACAACTATGAGGTATCACTTCACACCTGTCAGAATGGCTGCCATCAACAAATCATCAAACAAGTGTTGGCGAGGGTGTGGAGAAAAGGGGACTCTAGTAGACTGCTGGTGGGAATGCAGACTGATGCAGCCACTGTGGAAAACACTATGGTATTACCTCAAAATGTTAAAAATTGAACTGCCGTTTTGCCCAGTGATCCCAATTCTAGGAATATACCCTAATAAACCTGAAACATCCATCATAAAGAATATATGTACCCCTATGTTCACAGCAGCACTATTTACAATAGTTAAGATATGTAAACAACTCAAGTGTCAATCAATAGATGAGTGGATAAAAAAGTTGTGGTATATGTACACAATGGAATACTATGCAGCTGTAAGAAAGAAAAATCTCTTATCCTTCAAGATGACATGGAGGGACCTGGAGAGTATTATGCTAAGCAAAACAAGCCAAGCAGAGAAAGACAAATATCACATCATCTCACTTATTTGTGGAATATAATGAACTAAACAAACTGATGAACAAAATTGACCCAGAGACATAGAGGAGGGGTACAGACTGACAAATCTCAGAGGAGGGTAGGTTGGAGGGGAAAGAGATAAACCACAGAACTTGTCTATGTCCATTGGTCATGTACGCATGACCAATGGACATAGACAACAAAGCTGGAGATGGAGCAAGGGGGGATGGGGAGGAGGGTGTCAATGAGGGGTAAAGGAGAAACATCTGTAACAAAAATAAATAAATAAATACAAACATCCACAGTGGAACAGTCCAACACTAAAGAAAGCGATAAGGAAGAGTGTGTATGTTAGAGAAATGGTAAGCGGAGCAACAGGTAATAGCTATAATAACTAGTATGTGTCGAGCACTGATCTAAACACACACTACAGATATGATCCTCAGAACAGGAAGGTATTATCCCTATCTTACTAATAAGAAAAAAGACTCAGATGTTCATTTGTAAAAGATCACACCACTAGTAAACAGGGGTTAGAAGATTTGGACCTAAATCTACCTGATTCAAAAACGTATGTTCTTTTCACTGTAACGCTAGAACAGTAACTACATATCCAAAGGTTCTGTAAATTAGAGCAGGACTGTGTTTTGTTGAGGCTTACATACTAAAAATGTAAGAGTAGCTAAAAAGATAAATGACTAACCAACAATTCCCTCCACACAACCACAGCTGCTGCCTGCAGGGCTCACTGCAGTTATTAAGTATTACAAATGGACTGTGCCATTTACTGAGGGTGATAAACTGCTTACTTATGAAGATTAATAAGAGACTTTCACTCTATAATATGTAAGAATGAAGAGAAAAGTTGAAGATAATCCATTAGCAACAGACAAGAATAGCTAAGAACCAATTTGGAAGCCACTCCCTTTTACCCAGTGACAAGCTTATTGTTTTAAAAGCCAGGTTGTTAATTAATGTCCAACATTAATTTTCTTTTAAATTCTCACCGAGGATTTTTCCATTAATTTTTAGATAGAGTAGAAGAGAAGTGGGGGAGGGAGAGAGAGAAAGAGAAACATCAATATGAGAGAGACACATCGATCAGTTGACTCCCACACAACCCCAACTGGGGCCAGGGATCAAACCCACAACCAAGGTATGTGCCCTTGACTGGGAATCGAATACATGACTCTTTGGTCCATGGGCCAACATTCTAACCCATGAGCCAAACCAGCCAGGGCCCAACATTAAATTTAAAGGTATGTATGCACAAATTCCACAGTACAGTAGGTTTAAGGTAAAAAGTAAAAGCCCTACTCCCATGCTCTCAGAAGTTTTACACATTATACAAATTTATGTAGGTACATCTTCACATAAATATGTATGCCTATAAACACACTGCTGTGCAACATTTGTTTTCTGTATCTTAAAAATATACCTGAGACAGCCCTGGCCGATTTGGCTCAGCAGTTAGAGCGTCGGCCTGTGGTCCAGAGAGACCCGGGTTCGGTTCCTGCTAAGGGTGCGTACCTCGGTTGCAGTTTGTCCCCAGCCCTGGTTGGTCGTGCGGGTGGCAGCCACTCGATGTGTCCCTTTCACGTTGATGTTTGTCTCTCTCTCTCTCTCTTCCTCTCTCTCCCTCCTACTCTATCTGAACAAAAAATTAAAAAATGTCCTCAGGTGAGGATAAAAAATAATAATAATAAAAAAAGAATGTCCTTGATGAAACAGAAAGTTTATTAACTTTATTAAATCTGAACCCTAGAGACGATTTCTTTTCAAAAGTCTGTAAGAAAAAAAACCCAAACTATAACTATTAAGACTTGCTATCCAAGTCTAAATATTTTAAAATTTTCCTTTAGAGCCCAGCCAAAGTGGCTCAGTAGACTGAGCATCATCCCATGGACTGAGAGGTCCCAGTTCCTGGTCAGGGCACATGCCCAGGTTGTGGGCTCGATCCCCAGCAGGGGGTGTGTAGGGGGCAGCCAATCGATGTTTCTCTCTCACATCAATGTTTCTATCTCTCTCTCCCTTCCTCTCTCTAAAAACTAAATAAAAACATTTAAAATTTTCCTTTAGAGATCTATGATATTAACAATTTTTGATATTATATAATAAATGGGTCAACATTTGTAAGAAACATACAAAATATAGACATTAAAAAATAAAAAGAGCTCTGGCTGGTTTGGCTCAGCAGTTAGAGCACTAGCTCTCGGACCAAAGAGTCACGGTTTTGATTCTAGCCAAGGGCAGGTACATCGGTTGTGGTTCCTCCCAGCCCTGATTGGGGTCGTGTGGGAGGCAACCAATCGATGTGTCTCTCTCACATCATTGTTTTTCTCTCTCTCTCTCTGTCTTCCTCCCTCTCTCCCTCCTGCTCTATCTGAAGATAAGTGGAAAAATATCCTCAGTGAGATTAAAAAAAAATCAAAAGAATTCAGAACTATAAGAATAATTCATCATCATCTTTTCTTATGTTCTCACACTTTTTTTTTTGGTGGGTTGGAGTTGTTCTGTTGTTTCATGGAAGAGAGGAGTAAATGCTTTCTGAGTTACCAAAACTATACCAAGAACATGAACACAGGTGCCTGATGCTTGCTTTATGATATGAATTATTGTAATAAATAAAGGGGCTTCTGACGTCATGGTATAGTATTTCAGGGGTTAGTATATATGCATAATTAGCTAAGCATCACAAATTGAAAATAATCACTTACCAAACACTATTCCTTTAGCAAATGGAGGAAACAATTCTGAATGTCGGAATAAGTTTTTGTGAATTTGCCATAGTTCTTTGTGTAGTTTCTTAAAGTCACTGTATCTCTTCCATACGATTATCTAAAGAGAAAAGAAAATTAAATGTGTGTCTCATAGTGAAACTATTTAGGCTCAGAATCTGAATAAATGTTTCATTATAGTGCTCAAAACTGTCATGCAAAGGCAAACAAGTATATGTTCTAACCAATATGGTTAACTGTCTAAAATTAACTAAGATTTGCTTTAAAAATATAAAACAGCATTTCTTCTTCCAAATATTTTGTCTTAACTGTTAATTTCATTTTAAACAAGTAGTGTTTACTTCATACTGGAAAAATATTCAACCTGGTACAAAAAAGGTCTATCCTACCTAAAACGTCATTTAACCTCTTCAAAAGCCAATTACTACTGGCCATGGAAAGGAGCTAGATGCCAAAATACATATTCTGTCTCAAAAACAGCATGTTTATAAACACAAAATAATTAATTTAGACAATTTTTAAATACAAAGTACATACTCAGCATTTGCCTAAAAGGTTAAACAAAGTGAAAAACACTGAGGAAACAACAGCTACTAATGACCAGTAAGTAACATGAACTTTTTTATTTCCTAAATCCCAATTTAAAGTAGTAATAAAATTTCTGGAAGCAGGGTGAATCTTGGTCAGAATACCATTAAAACAAGTATATTTCAAAAAGAACAATCACCTAGATTATACAAAAGTAAAAAAGTAAATTTTCCTTCATTAGTTTTAATTATTGTTTAACCTCATTCAGATTCAATTAGGAAAAAAACTATATAAAGAAAAAGGATTTGAACATGGCCTTGATATCACTGATTCACCCTCAGTCTCCACAAAATGAGTAAAACTGAGTTTTAAATTCCGTCACTTCGTATTTTGGGGACTTTGCTTAAAAAAACAAACCTACTTACCTCACTTCTAACAAACTCAATATTAGAGTACAATGCGAATAAGCAAAACTTTAAGACTCTTGTAAAAAATTTACTCTCTGCATATATGAAATTCTTCACTAAACTTTGTCAAACTACTAAAATTTCACCATGATTAATATGTTTCTTGTTTCTAACAGTAGGGAACTAGTCAGACTGTATTTGAGTTCATTCAAGTAAACTGCTCCCTCCTGATGCTTCCTTCTATGTATTTACTCAACAAGAAAAATAGTCAACTAAACAAGTATTTCCAGGGCCCTACTTTGTGCTAGAGGCACTGTGATGGCAGTAAGGATGGAGAAACGAGAAACATAATCCCTGCCCGCAGAGTTCCAGTCTAGTAGAAGAATAAACCAACATAGTAAGCACATCACCAGACAGTAGCGTGGTAAGGGCCAGAAGGCAGCGGGGGTAATAGGGAAGGAGCACCTACATCAGCCTTGGGTATCTAAGAAGGCTTTACAGAAAGTATTATCTTAGGTGAGCAACCTGAAGGGAAGTAGTGATTATATCAACAAAAATAAAGACAGAAGGAAGGGGTTGTGGATAAGGTTTTTAAAAGGAGAGTGCAGCCAAATATAATTGCTAGAATTCTGCCTTTACAGCTGGATAAATGGTGGTACTATTCCCTAAGGTGAAAAGCCAAGAGAGAAGAAGCTGTGTGGACATAAGAACGAAGTTCAATTTTAGATACATTTGATTTAGGTGCTTGTGAGGCATCTAATTGGAGATGTCCCATAGGGTGTATGGGCTTGGGGTTCAATACCAAGAACTTAGCAAGATGTATTCATTTGGGAGCATCAGCAGAGAGGTGATCACTCAGAAGAGGTTTCTCAGCATTTGTAACAAGATGAGAACAGAATGACTGAGAACCCTAACACTGAGGGGCCAGCCAGAAGGAAGGAAAAGAACACCAAGTACAAAGTAAGTATTTAAGAAGCTTGACCATGGCATGAGAGAGGGCACATGGATGGAAGAAATTTTATGTTAACATGAAAGTGAATGAGACAAACGCTGAGGGCAAAGAACCAACAGTTCCAGGAGAAGGCAGAGAAGAACTGGAAGAGCCAACCCAATACTTGAAAAGCTAGTCCTCAGAGCAGTGAAATTACAGTAATTTTAATATTTTGTGCTTCTCTGTAGTTTTGCATTCTGATACATGAACATAATTCTGCCATGGGAAAAAAATGCTATTTTTATATTTTTAAATAGATCAAGCTATGGTGGTACCACAATGTGAAGGGCTTAAGGAAGAAATAGGTGATGATGGGCTTGTAAAAGTAAATTTACATAAGGTAAATGCTATTCTCAAAGCCATTATAAACCAGACAATAGAGTTATTCAAAAGACTATGGCTCATGAAAACAAATCTGCAGATAAAATTTATATTCTAGTTAGGGTCACTGCAAAATAAAAGCAGAGTAACTTAAGGGGCAAAAGTTAACAATTTAATCACAATAATGTAATATCATGGTATATAAACCAGTAGGTTGTCAGAGCAAGAATAAGAAACCCTTCCCCCAAGGTGAGAATCTGTGTTTCTTCACCATGTTCTAATTTATTCACCCACATATTCCCTATTCTCCACACTAGAACTTTAGAACTGAAAGACCTAAGAGCAAATATAAACCCTCCAGAAACGCAGGACACCAAAGTGTCACAATATGTCACTATTCACTGACTCCTTCTCTTCTAACTCCTTTTAAGCTTGGACATGTCTAGAAATCTTCAAAATGGAAAAGTGAACAGAAGCACACTCCCATTGCATAAACAAGTATTAATGTTTATAATTGGACTACACATAGTCCCAAAAGACATGCAAAAGATTATTTTCTCTAAAATTTTCCTATTGTAGAAAAAAAAAAAAAAAAAATCGTTGTATAACAACTACTGCTCTAATGAACCAATTCTGCAGAAATTTTTTATTCATTAAAGTTATGAGTCAAAGTCCTCAATTAGATATTAATTTAATGACAATCATATACCGACTACAAATTTAATTAATGCTTAATAATTATTAAAACATTAGCCCTTAGTCCTGGCCTGTTTGGCTCAGAGGTTAGATAGAGTGTCAGCCCATGGACCGAAGGGTCATGGGTTCAATTCCCAGTCAAGGGCACGTACCTGGGTTGCAGGTTTGATCCCTGGCCCTGGCTGGATCTTGTTGAAGGCAACCAATGGATGTGTCTCTCTCACAAGGATATTTCTCTCTCTCTCCCTTCCTCTCTCCCTCCCTCCCTCTAAAAATCAATGGAAAAATATCCTTGGGTGAAGATTAACAAAAACAAAAAAATCACCTGAAATAATTTTAAATTAAAAAAATTTTAAGATAACTTCATTTAATGATACTAAACACCTGTAGAGCTCTTGTATTTTACAAAACCACTCAATTCAATTAACTCTGTCCTTTGTACTCTTCTATGGTACTTAGAACTTGTTGGATCATCTACCATGACATTTGCTTATGGATTTTCTTTCCCTTGACACCTTTCTGACACCAGTGAAGTTCACTACCTACAGAGAAACAGAGTTATATAGGTTACTTTTTTTAAAAGGTGGGGGAGGAAGAACACATTTCCACCTCTCTCTTGACTCCTACAAGTACTCATGGTCTAGAGAATCTTCCGAACGAGAATCTTCCCCCTCGGCTTCACCCATGCTGCTCTTAATAAATAAAATTTACAGAAAATGTGTAACAGATAAGAAAAAGAAAAGCTATCCTGGGTAATTTTACCCGGCCGGTGTGGCTCAGTGCATTGAGCGTCGGTTCAATTCCCGGTTGGGGGACATGCCCGGACAAGTTAATGTCGGGCTTGATGCCCAGCAAAGGGGGTGTGCAGGAGGCAGATGATCGATGTTTCTCTGTTACTGATGTTTCTATATCTCTCTCCCTTCCTCTATCTCTAAAAAAATCAATAAAAACATATTTAAATTAAAAAATAAAGTTATATTTTTAAAAAGCTATCATGGGCAGTTTTAAATTATTTACTCACGTTTGTATTTAAGCATTCTTAGGAAGAAAACACTGCATGTGCCGAGGTATGTATGTATGTATGTATAAACAGAAAACTTCTCCAGTTTTATAAGGATAGCATATTACTGGCCCTATATTTGGCTAGATTGACTATACATCTACTAATCCTCATCAGCCCTGCGAAGCCTGACCAAATTCTAAAGCAGTAACTAAATGAATCAATTAACAGAGAGAGAAAGTGAAAGGCAAGGAAATGGAAACATATTCTAAGGGGTGAATTCCTCTCCTAAATGAGAATTCCAATGTTTAAATGAAACATATGGGAAACTAAAAAGTATTGTTATAATTTCAAGGTTATTATATATTTTAAGAAGACAGCAAGACAGAAGACATGTTGTTATATTTTTATAGCATGTCTAACAAAGGATCATGCAATCATCTAACTAAAGGACACTTACAAGAGTTTTCTGAAGAATGGTTCACCAACAGTTGTTTTATAAAAGAGTTTTCCCCAAAAAAGGATTAAGGAAATGGCAGAGATTATGTTCATGATAGGTTGGTTCAGGATTCTCCCTGGAAAAGGGGAACATCATGCTACAAACTACAGCACAGCAATCAGACAATATTTTTAAAAGAAACACAACCCATATTCAGTTTTAAGAGAGGTGTAAATTTTCAAAAGCAGAAAACCCTGGTATTAACTATTAATTCAACATTCTAAGGAAATCTAAATTCTAAAGAACAGTTCATACTAATCAATTGACACTTAAGTAGAGAGAGTACTTCAACCACTGGTGCAAATTACTTTCATTGCCATTTTAGAAAGATAGATACATAGGTATGTATTATTTTCTTCCAAAATAACAATATTACAATAGTCTCTTCATGGTTACTGGGGGTAGGGAGAGTAAGGAGAAGTTAAAGATCTTAAAACCCTAAGGAAAATAGTAAGAAATCTTTTTTAAATGTCCTTTATTGAACTATTTAACCACAAGGAAAAATATATATATCAGATTAGATACAGCAAGAAATGGTAATGTATAAAAGTCAAAATATATTCTAAACCTCATGTCGCATACTCAAACCAACTACCAAACGATCAATTTAAATGAATGAATCAAGCCACATTTTTCAGTAAGAAGTAGTGGGGCTTATGGCTAAAAGAAAGTACATACCCCACCTAAAGACATTAAAATTCCATTGAAAAACAAAACAAAAACACTGTTGCAGAATCAAGACTGCCAATTTACAATATCTGTTTCTTTAGTAAGAAAAAAAATTCCACAATATACTATGTCCTTCTGATACCGTTGCAATTAACCTAGTTATTAATAACAGGAAAAAAACAAACAAAGGGAAGGCCAAATACTTTAGATGTGTCATTTGAGCAGCTTTGCCAGGAGGCTGCAGTTTAACACTCCCCAGGAACCACTGGGAGAACTGGGAACACTCTCCAGGAATCACTCCCCAGGTCTGATCCCAACAGACCACTGGGAGAAGGGACTAGACGGGGAGAATAGGCACATGCCCAGTAAAGTCTGGGTGAAATATGGAAGGTGTTTGCCTGTCAGTCACACCTGGGAACAGGTCATTGGCCAGGGTAGAAGTGCAAACACGTGAAGATTTGAAATATTTAATCCCCTAAACAAAGGAGTCCACTCTCTTGGCTACTGGCGCTCTTCGGTCTCTTGTTGCAGGTGGCATGGTCTCTTGGCTCTCACCTCCTGCATTCACCCACACAGCTCATGGCCATGTGGACCCCACACACAACTGGACTGCAACTGGACTAATGGCCTGCAACTAGCCTAATGCTGAACTGGACTCAATTCCTACATGGAATGGAAACTCTGGACACTGGCTTTGCTTTCAGCTCTACTGAATTCCCAGCTGCACTTCTTCCAGGACTGGATTAAGGGAAATGGGACTTTGGAAATCCAGGGATGTAAGTCCACGCAAATAAAAATCATCATCGTCCCATGCACTAGGAGGTTGCCCGTTCGATATCCAATCAAGGGCACATGCCCGTGTTTCGGGCTCAGTCTCTGGTGGAGGTTGTGCTCTCACATCGATGTTTCACTCTCTCTCTCTCTCCCTCTCCCTTCCTTTCTCTAAAAATCAACAGACTATTCTAAAAAGAATTGTTTTTAATAAATAAAATTAAAATAAATGAAAAAGAAAATGAGCAAGTATTAATATGAAAGTAAATTTTAAAACTGTTAAAATAAGTAAGCTCCTCAGATATTCCTAAATGTATATAAGTACAAAGTAACTATAGAGAACCACAGTTTTAAGCATAAACATAATGTATCATTTTAGAGAGGGAAAGAGTCTGCAAAAGAACTTATCAACTACAAAATTTTAAAAAGAAACATCTACACACAAAGCAGTTCTCCAAGATATCAACATAACAACTCAATATAAAAATGGAAGTAGACAGAAACCCATTATTTAATTTTATAATCTTTAAAATTAATACTACTTACCAAATATTTTTCATTTTTTTATTAAACGGGTATCATAATTTTGAAATAGGTAAATAGGAGTCCTTAACTAATATTAAACTCTGATGAGTGCTACCTATAATTTATGAAAATCTGATTTATATAATTTAATACCTACTAAAATCTAACACATATTTAATAGGTCTAAGTAATTTTTCAAATTCTTATATATAACTTAAAACCTATGACAACTTAAAATGTACTTAGTAGGTCTGAAATAGAACACTTCTGCTACTGTTTTGTGAGCTGAAGAAAATCTCCACATAAACATACAAATACAAAGACAGGCAATTCAATTTCCTCAATCGGTCATTCAATTATAATTTTGTCAAATATATAAAATAAAATTTTCATATGAATAACATGTTACCTCCTGGACATCCTCTGGATTTCTTCGTGAAACGACCTGAAACAAAACATATACAGAAATATCTCAACATTATCAAAATTTAAGATTTCACATTTGTGTAATTACTTTCAACAGTATTTGTATAAAAATTTCAATTTGCTTAAAGGAAAAGAAATAGCATATTATATCCCTTACACAGAACTCAGCTATATAACTTCACTATCTGAAACACATACTAAAAAATTAAGCAAAAAGGTAGCTGAAATAAAGTCCACACGTTAAAGTCCACGTATCACATTCACAAGAGAATGCCTCAGGCCTTCACTTCTACTTGACATTATTCTACCAAATCTCTGTAATCCCCTTCCCAGCCTCCATACAAATAAGAAGCATACAAAGCAACTGCACCTGTAGTATTTTTTACAACTTGATGTGACTCTACAACTAGCTCAATAAAAATTTCAATTAAAAAAAATACAGCCACAATGCTCAGCCTCATCAATATCTATGGGACGTCATCAGTGACCACCTAATGGTGAAGAAGAAAACAAAGTAATATAAAAAATTGGCTGCTCTCTCCCACGTAGGATGGGACAGTCGCGCGGCTAATAACGCTCTCTTAATTTGAACCCAGTTCAGAGTCTGAGTCTGGTCTGTCTCGTTGGTCTACAACATTTGGAGGCCCCAGCGAGACAGACAAACAAGGTCCCCCACTTCGGCGGGCTGACCTGCTCAGACTCCGGGAGACAGGTCGATCCCAGGAGCAGAGAGGTGGTCTAGGGGAATGCCTCGGAGAGACATTCCTCCGCCCCAGACGCCGTTCTGCCCTGGAACTGTCTCCACTCCAAATTCCATCTAGAGAGCATCTGGAAACCCTGGGCCCAGGTTCGGTCCCTCGCTCTTTGCAGGCAATCCAGAGGCTGAGAGAACAGACCCGACAGCCAATCAAGGACACCAGACCCCAACCGGGGACACCCCAGATACCACCACACGACTTCACCCCTGGTGACTGGGTCTGGGTCAAGAAACATCAGCCTGCTTCCCTCAAGCCTCGCTGGACTGGCCCTTTTCCTGTTGTCCTGACTATGCCCACCGCTCTGAAGGTAGCAGGACGGAAATTTGGATTCACCACACTCAGGTAAAGAAAGCACACCCTGAGCAAGTACCTGAACAATGGGCCTTACAGCTGACCGAGGATCCCCTGAAGGTAAAGGTCTCCAGGTTTCCTCCTAGTCTCTTTCCTGACTCTGATCACCAGTAAGGAACCTACCCAATTTAGATGCACTCAAGGGCGGCCACTGCTATGAAGGTACGGCCCCCACCTGACCCTCGGAGTCCAACAAGGACAGGGGACATGCTTCATCATTGGCAACTATGACCAAAGCTCTTCCCCTTATGCGGACTCATGCGGGGACACTACCACCCTGACCCCATTAAGCCCCTCATCACAAGAGACTTGGGTCCTAACTGCACCCCCCGGGACTTGGTTTGCTTGCTCCTCAGTACTGACTCCCTGCATCTTTCCCGTTGGAACCAAAGACTTATGTATTCTTGCTAACATTATTCCAGTTTTATTTCTTCTCTGTTTGGCCTTAGGAGAAACCTGTTGTTTTTATGCTAACCTGGTATTATTAGAGAAAGCATAAAATTAGACAGTGACTAGACGAACGAGAACAGGCTCTATCCACCTCTAAGAATTGGTAGGAGAACCTCTTTAATTGGCCCCCATGGTTCACTACTCTTATCACTAGCCTTGCGAGCCCCTTAATCCTCCTCCTATTAACACTAATTTGTGGCCCAATCCTAGTTAATCACTTAATGCAATTTTTTAGAGAAAAAGTACAGGCTGTTAAGCTCATGATTCTTAGCACTCCCTATCAGAGGCTAGCTACAATGGACGAAATTGAAGACATTTTAGAATCAAAGATTTGATTTAACCCTAAAACCAGTGGGGAATGTAAAGGACAAACACATGACCTTGCCCCCTGGATTTTTAAGGGAATGGCAAGAACTATCTGCTAATAGATAACCACTGCATTGAATAGATAACCATTGCTTTGTGTACACAGAAACTGATTGTTCCCTCAGGCATAACAGCTAACTGCAAATATCTGCTTCTGTACGTGCTTGCTTGCTCCCATACCCTTAACCCAAATTCCTTAACAGGGGCTAAGACAACTATATAAGCAACTCTCCCCCTGAGTGAGCTCGGGGCTGCTCTCTCTTCTGTGTAGGGTGGGACAGTCGCCACGCGGCTAATAAAGCTCTCTTAATTTGAACCCAGAAAAAAAATGTATATACAGCATTCCAGGCCAATGCTACACTATCTCATTCTCTGAGCAGAGGAAGGGGGAGGATTCTTTCAGACTTCTCTAATTATAAACGCCAAAAAGTCTAACACCATTCACAAGATTTCCTCACAAAACTTTTGAAAAACAGAAGGCTGGATGCTTAAGTCACCAAACAGCAATGTAGAGTGGGAAAATTTCACATTAGATATATAATACCATCTATGTAAATGTAAAATTCATGAACTTGATGCTACAATATACATTTTGCAAAATCAAACAAAAAGATACATCAAACACATAAAAACGGTTGCCTATAGATGAGAGGAAGAACAACTTGAAGACTAGTGATAACACCATGAACTTGGGATTAGGATCAACTCAACACTACTGCAGTCCAAAACCAGAACAAAAAGATACCATTTCAAGTCAGACACACACACCTAGGTTCAAACTGCAGTTCAGGCTTGATCCTCTACAAAATGGGGATAATACTCGCTGCTTGGCCTGGCTGTTCTGGCCACCAAATAAGAACACAGAAAGAACTTCATAATTAAAACGTTGCTCCCTCTCTCCCTTACCAGAGAATTTAACGATTTTGAAAGGTCCCACCTAAGAATTCCAGACAGGAAAGGTTTCCAATTTCTTGCCACTCTATTCTTCGACTTTCAGGATACATAAATTTAGTAAAATCTCTTAGCAATTTGCATTAATTTAGAACAGTGCTATCCAACAGAACTTTCTCTGATGATGGAAAGAAATGTTCCCTAAACGACCTTCCAACATACTAGCCCCTGGCCACATATGAATGTGTGGCTACTAAGCACGTAAAATATGGCTACTACGACTGAAGAACTGAAATTTTTCATTTTACTTCATTTTAAATTAATTTAAATGTAAATAAAAATAGCCTCATATGGCTAATGGTTAGCATAGTAGACAGTAAAGATTTAGAGTAAGAGGTTAGAACAGGTAACTAACAACCATATATTATTCAAATATTGGATTTTAGCAATTACTTTCATATACCACCCCACCTCTGCCCCACCAAACACACAAACACACACCTTTCCAAATTATGGTATTGGTGTTTCACATAATAAGATCATTTAATTTTGCCTCATAAATGTTTCTTATTTTTTTGTAAAATGGGCTAATAAGAAGAAAACCAGGGATAGGCAATCCACCAGCAATCCACCCACCAAAAAACAGTCAACATATGATCACTGGCAATAAAGTTTATTCGGGTATACTATACATTCTACAAGTTACATTTTTCTGAAAAATTAATGGGCTTCTTGAATTTATAACTCAATCATTTTATAAATATACTAAGGTACCTTACTATTTTAAATAACCTTCCTTTATATGTGCAAATGATCTTTTGTGACAAAAGAAATTACTAACTGGTTTGGTGTATATATAAGAAGTATCACATTTTGGATTATCTTCAGGTAATTCCTGGAAATCAAATATATGTGTACTACATGAGCAAAAAGATATTATCCATCCCCTGCCAATATCTACAATTTAAAACCATCTTACCAGAAATAATTTGATTATGACTTCTCACCCGTACACTTAGTAGCTACCATACTTCTGCCATGCACTCAGGCTACAATATTAGCAGCAATCAAGTCCCTGCCTTCCGAAGCCCAAAGTCTAGCACATGACTGTTGTGGGGGCGGTGTAGACAAGGGAGGGGGGAGTGGACTTCCCAAACTTATAATAGCATCTCAGAGAATAGTGGTGTGGCCCTGGCCGGTTTGGCTCAGCAGTTGGAGTGGCAGCCCACGGACCTTCGATTCCAGTCGAGGGCACGGACCTCAGTTGCGGCTGCGGTTGCGGTTGTAGTTCGTCCCTGGCCCTGGTCGGGGTTGTGTAGGAGGCAACCAGTTGGTGTGTCTCTCTCACATCGATATTTCTCTCTCTCCCTCCCTCCCTTCCACTCTATCTGAAGATAAATGGAAAAATATCCTCGGGTGAGGATTTAAAAAAGAGAGAAATAGTAGTGTGCCAAGCAACAAACTGGGAAGTGATTCATTCTAGACCTTTACCATGACAGCGAATGCTCACTGTCCAGACTACAGTTAGCAGACTTAAGACTTTTAATGTTTTCATAATAATAAGTTACTTATGTTATTGTAGAAAATACAGAAAATCAAAGTTTAACTATTCTTAAACTATCTAAGTGAAGGTCTTTAATTTTAATCTTACAAGAGGAACTTGTCTTCACCCTCAAATACTTCTCAAATGAAGGAGAGAACATTTACTTAAGCGGAGTTTAAAAATTTAAATCAAAAGCTGTTTGCTGATTATTAACTATATCCCCTTTCCCTGGCAGCATACACCGAGCTTAGTGAAAATCAAGTCTGGGAAGTGGAGGGCTATGATTTCCTGTTCTCCTCTTCTCTTTCCTCTTTGGTTCTTTTGCTTCTCTTTTTGTAGGTTCCTCTTCCTCCCTCTACCTCCCAACACTCTGGTGAGCACTCCAAGAATCAGTCCTAGACTCTGTTTCCCAGCCTCTTATTTTTTTTTTTAAACACATATTTATTTATTTATTTGTTTATTTATTTTTTTATCCTCACCCGAGGATATTTTTCCATTTTTTGTACAGATAGAGTGGGAGGGAGAGAGAGGAAGGAGAGAGAGAGAGAAACATCGACGTTAAGGGACACATCGAGTGCCTGCCACCCGCACGACCAACCAGGGCCAGGGACAAACTGCAACCAAAGTACGTGCCCTTAGCGGGAACTGAACCCGGGTCTC